TTCTCTGGATCCTTGATCAGATATAAACTTGTGAAATCTCTTATTCCACAATCTTGGTGACTGTTTAAGGCCATAAAGAGATTTCTTTAACAAACATACCTGATCCTTCCCAGCATTTACTTCAAATCCTTCAGGTTGTTCCATGTAAAGCTCCACATCAAGATCTCCATGTAAAAATGCAGTCTTTACATCCATTTGCTCGAGCTCTAAGTCTTCATTTACAACTGCAGACATCAAAATTCTGATAGAAACGTGTTTCACAACAGGAGCAAAGACTTCTTGATAATCAATGCCCTCTCTTTGTGTGAACCCACGAGCCACAAGCCTAGCTTTGTATCTCTTTGGCTCAACCCCTGGAATTCCCGGCTTCTTTACATATAACCACCTGCAACTAATGACCTTTTCATTTACTGGCCTATCAACAATGTCCCATGTCCTGTTCTTTGTCAATGAATTCATTTCCTCTCCCATAGCACCATTCCATTTTTCCCACTCTTGGGATTTCTGAGCATCATGGAAACATTGGGGATCATCTATTTCTGTGTCTTCTGCAGTGAAAAGTGCAAAAGCCACCATGCTATAATCCGTGAGTCTTGCTGGTGGAACAGTAGTTCTTCTTACTCTGTCTTTTGCCAATTGGTACCCAGCCAGCTCATCAACTTCTTCTTCATCGTGTATCTCTTCATTTTCTGCATCCTCCTCATTTATTTCACTTGAGCTTTCTGACAAAACTCCACCTTGATCAATACTTCCTGCAGCTTGAGATACATCAGGATTCATATTAACAACCAACTTGACAGTTTCTCCACTTGATTCTCCTTTTTCAAAATTTCTTTCAGCGCCTTGTTCTTCTTGTGGTTTTAAATCTTTAAACACCTGATCTTCATGGAAAACAACATTCCGACTTACCACTCATTTTTCTTCTTCTAACAACCAGACTTTGTAGCCTTTTGTTCCTTGTGGATACCCCAAGAAAACTCCTTTAAGGGCTCTTGGTTTCAGTTTTCCTTGATCATGGTACACATAAGCCACTTAACCAAAACGCCGGAGATGCTTATACCCTGGTTTTCTGTCAAGCCAAATCTCCTCAGGTACATTGTGGTCTATAGCTGAACATGGTGATCTATTGATCAGATAAGTAGCAGTGGAGGCTGCCTCAGCCTAGAACTCTTCACCAAGTCCTGATTCATTCAATAAACATCTGACCTTCTCCATTATAGTGCGGTTCATCCTCTCAGCAACACCATTTTGTTGTGGTGTGTAAGTGCAAGTTCGGTGTCTCTCTATGCCATGTACCTTGCAATACTCATCAAACTTGGCATTACAGAATTCTAGACCATTGTCGGTCCTTAACACCTTAACTTTCTTGCTCATTTGGTTTTCCACCAAATCTTTCCATTCACAGAACTTGTCAAAAGTTTCATCTTTTGTCTTCAGGAACATTACCCAAACCTTTCTTGACTTGTCATCAATGATTGAGAGAAAATACTGCTTTCCTGATATAGATGGAGTCACACTAGGAGACCCCCACAAGTCTGCATGTAGATATCCAAGCACATCATCAGTTCTGTGTCTTCCCACATTGAAACTCAGCTTTTTAGCCTTCCCCATAACACAATGCTCACAAAACTGCATATCTTTGATGTCTTTCTTTTCAATCAGCCCTTTACCAGTCAATATCTTCAAGTTGTTAACGCTGATATGGCCAAGCCGACTATGCCACAGTGTTGTCTTATCTGACTGTTTTTCAATGTTACAGTTCTCAGGTAAGACTGTTTCTTCATCCAACACATACAAACCATTAGAGAGATTTCCCATGAGTGCAGTCTTGTCATTCTTGAAATACCTTACCTTCCCATCACCTCCCTCATGCTTAAATCCAAGTTTATCCAGGGTTCCTGTTGAGATAAGGTTCCTTCTCAGATTTGGAACATATCTAACATTCTGCAGCATGTTAATAGTCCCTCCATGTGTGTTGATTCTAATCGATCCTTGTCCCTGTGACTGCACCGTATGATCATCACCCAACAGAATCGTAGTACCACCATTATCATACAAGTCAACAAACCAGTCTCTTCTTGATGTCATATGGAAAGTACATCCTGAATCCAAAACCCACACATCCTTAGCATTCTGATCATTAATGCTCAAAGCTTCTGAGAAAACCACTTTTTCTGTAATAACTCCTGCCTCTCCTTGTCTTTCACTCTCAATTTTCTTCTTTCTAGCATAGCAATCCTTTTTCATATGACCCTCTTTCTTACAAAACCAGCAAGTAACCTTTGTCCGAGAGCTTGACCTGCTTCTACCTTTCCCATTCGTATCCTTGGGACCTTTGGTCATTGTTCTTCCTCTTTCACTCGTATACAAGCTTGCTGCAGGGCTCTTATACTCTCTCTTGGCCTCTACGATTTCTCTTTCCCTTGACTTGGCAGATGAGATAACTTCCTCTAGTGTCAGTGAGTCCCTTCCATACTTGAGAGTATGCTTTAACTGATCATAATTTGTTGACAGAGATGTTAAGAATAGGATAGCTTGAACTTCATCAGTAACTTTCACATCAAGGCTACCCAACTCTGCAACGATTTTCAGAAAATCATCTACATTTGCATCAACACTTCTGGATTCATCCATCTTAAACGTATAGAACTTCAGCTGTAGATGAATCCTGTTTGGTAAAGTGCTTTCCATGTATAACCTGTTCAATGTAGACCACATCTCTGCAGCAGTGACACATTTCTCAATCTTTCTCAACACATGGTCACCAACGCTTGTTACGATCAATCCCATAGCTTTCTCCGATTTTTCAATCTTACTAGGGTCAGGAACTACCTTAGTCAGAGATTCTGATGCGGTTGCACCATCTTCTTCAATCTGCGATTCGCTGCTACTTGGAATCGTCTCCACCATCTCCAACTTGTGGTCTGTGAGTACATCCTTCAGCCCGATGATACCAAAATGTGCCATCATCCTTATTTTCCATAAGGAAAAGTCTCCAGTACCGTCAAATCTATTTACAACGACTCTCGTGTTTGCCAACAGCTCGTCAGCCATGATTTTGTACCAAAGGTGTCAACTTTCTTCTAAAACGAGTCTTTTATGATAAAGTTTGAAACTTTTGTGTAAAGTTCAAAGCTTTATGATAAATATCAAGATTTTCTTCAAAAAATCCAAACTTTTTTCAGTTTCTTCAATAAAGCTTGGACCTTTTACCGTAAAACAGAGAAAGTTTCAATCTTCTCCACTAACCTGAGAGCTCTGATACCACGTGTTACGATTCACACTCTCTGCAGTTTGTTTCAGCCTCACAAAATCAGTCACGTTCTCTCCTTTGTCTCTCTCTCACGTTTGTTGTTTGTTAAAACAGAGGAAAGAAGAACAGAGAAAAGAAAGCAGGAAACACAAGCACACAAGATTTTTACCCGGTTCAATCCAATCGGTGTGATTGAATCTACGTCCGGGGCCAGATCAACTCTGACAATCCACTAATAAGAAGGAGATTACAGCTCAAAACCTGAGCAATACACAAGTCTCTACAATGAACAAAACTTATGTCTTTTTCTCGCCAACTTGAGAAAGAAGCTGTCTTGGAGATGTGTATTTATACACGTTTGAAAATGAAACAGTGTAGCCCTCGACGTGGTTCTGGTCTTCACTGTACCAACTCAACTTTCTCCTAAACCAACTGCAAACTGCAGAACCATTCAATCATCTCTAGCTTGACATTAAACCGGAATCAAACCAGAAACTTGAATTATACCGCTTCTTCTCTAACAAGAGGTAAACTTTTTCTTTCCATGTCATTTCTTGTTCGCGTTATATATATCTTGTTGGAACCATCACATAAATGAAATATCATGTTTTAATTTATTTTTAGGATGCAAATATCTTCCGTCGAATAGTACATCTGGAGCTGAGCATATGTAGTGAAAGATATGGGGGAATGCTTGTAGATTTGCTCCTATGTTTCATTAAATTGGTGGTTCTCAAGCTTGAAAATGTATTCAGTTTTCTCCCCTTTTTCCGATCCTTTACCATTTTAATTTATAGTGTTTAATATTCGACCTCAATGATCTTATTATTAATAGCATATTTACCAATTTTACTCGTGATCGCAGGTTTACTTACTAACTCCGTTGGGTCGTTGGGAACCGCCAAGTTTGGTTCCTGAATGTTTGTTGTCCAGTCTTGAAGCTCTAGAGTGGAAAGGTTACACAGGGAGATACGGAGATAAGGATGTGGTGAGTTATCTCCTGAATCATGCGCTATGTTTGAAAACGGCGAAAATCTTCTATGAGTCATATCCACATGACGTGGAAGGGAAGCAACAAATTGAAGAGGACTTAGCTTCTATGCCAAGAGGTTCGAAGTCATGTGAAATTCTTTTGAATGAATTTATAAGAAGCAAAACAAATTGTTAAATGATTGCTACTATTTGGAAACTCGAGACATCTTATGATTTGATGCTTTGCTAAATTCACTGTTTCACTACAATTTATATTGAGGTTTTTCACATTCTCTTGTGTTTAGGTTTTAATTGGCGTTTTGATTCGTTGATCATTTGAAGTTAATCGAGTCATCAATGAACCCCGCCAGGAAATCTTTTAACGTAAACAGGTGCTTAGTCATTGATACGATCTAATTTGCATTTCACAAAACCATGATACAATGCTCTACTAGAGAGTAGAGACCATTAATAACAAAATCACGAACTAGACCAAGTTACAAATTACAAGAGCAAGACAACAAAAAAACAAGACTTGAAAATGTTCAGACGCAAAATAGAGCATAAAAGGGATATAATTAACATTCGCGTCTTAAACAACCAGAAAACAGACCTTGAGTCCCATGAATAAAAATTATAGAACATAACATAAGAATTTATATGTAAGAGATGCAAACCAAGTTTAGAGCCACTGTTTGGTCCAACACCGCATCACTTAGCCATCATGACCTTAACAAACTCTTCATAGTTAATCTGACCATCACCATCAACATCAGCTTCCTTGATCATCTCATCAACTTCTTCATCAGTAAGCTTCTCGCCAAGGTTTGTCATCACATGGCGAAGCTCAGCGGCTGAGATGAAACCGTTCTGGTCCTTGTCGAAAACCCGGAATGCTTCCTTGAGCTCTTCCTCGGAGTCGGTGTCCTTCATCTTACGAGCCATAAGGTTCAAGAACTCTGGGAAATCAATGGTACCGTTACCATCTGCATCCACTTCATTGATCATGTCTTGAAGCTCTGCTTCGGTTGGGTTTTGTCCAAGGGAACGCATCACAGTCCCAAGCTCCTTGGTGGTAATGCAACCTACAAGCAAATCAAAAATTTGTTCATCATTCACTTCTCTATAGATCTTGAAAAGAACAATTCAATCAAATGTCTTCGATTACGAAACTCAAAGAAGACAACAAGCAGGTCTCTGTAGAGAAGTATCTTAGCTAGATCCCAGACTTCTCTATTAACGGTAAAAGAATTCTGATGGAGAATTAACGATAATCCAAACAAAATTTGAAGAATCGGCAATCACGAAGGACCAAATCGATAAATCTGCAAATCCTTAAGTCATCATCGAAATTTTGATTCACCAAATACGAGTCAAATCCAATCCATAAACCAAACGAACAAAAAAATTGAAAAACAAGGACGAGTTTTAGAGATCACGAATTACAGATCCGTTATTTATCTACATCGACACAGATCATTTGAATCAGCAAGACGAGCAGAAATTAAATCAGATAAAGCTAGACACCAAGATCCAACAGTAACAAAATCCTATGCATTTACAAACGTTTGAAGGTGCGAGAGAGAGACAGAAAAACAAACAACGTACCATCACCATCCTTGTCGAATAAGCTGAAAGCTTCCTTAAACTCAGAGATCTGATCGTCGGTGAGCTGATCCGCCATTGTTTTTTTCTTCTCCTTTTCGTGAAACCTGTAGATTCAGATTTTTTGTTTTCTCAAAAACGAGAAAGAAGAAGAAGAAGAAGAAGAGGAAGAGAAAATTAGAAAAAAAGCGTCTCTGCTGAGAAAACGAGAGAGAAACCGTATTTATCGGGTACGAAGCCTATTAACGACTTTTGCCCCGACCCGGACTTTAAAAGCTTTTTTATTAACCCGTACCGGATTTGAAAATTTCTGTTATAACCTCGGTTTATGATTATAATTACGTTAATGCCATCAACAATGATTTTTTTCTTAAAAACGGCCACAGTGGACAATTAAACGGATCACACACGTTCACGCGGTCTGTACGCGGAGCGTTGACTTGACTGTCACGTCAGCATTCTCGCTGGGTCCTCTCATTCTCTCTTACTCCAAATGTCTGTTTCTGATTTGGCTCTATATTCTCTATTTAAATTCCTTGTCACCATTGAATTTATTTTACTATTATTTAGTACATTATCATTCATCACCGGCGAATTAATTGAATTAGACTTCGATTTCACTTTTGCCCAAAAAAAAAAAGATTCCGATTTCAAAAACATAAATTAAAACCTTTTAAAGATATACTTATAGGAGTGATTTTAAAGATAGCTTGGTCACCACCAAGTGAGGGATGGATCAAGCTGAATACGGATGGTGCTTCACGCGGTAATCCGAGTCTTGCATCGGCTGGAAGGGTGTTGAGGGATGGTTCCGGTGTTTGGCGGGGAGGGTTCGCGTTGAATATTGGCATTTGTTCGGCTCCACTAGCGGAATTATGGGGTGTGTATTATGGTTTGTATATAGCTTGGGAGCAAGGCATCACGCGACTAGAGCTAGAAGTGGACTCCGAGATTGTGGTAGGGTTTCTTCAGACAAGGATAAGTGACATGCACCCTCTGTCGTTCCTGGTACGATTGTGCCATGGCTTCATATCAAGAGACTGGATAGTCCGTATTGCTCACGTGTATAGGGAGGCTAACCGTCTTGTGGATGGGTTAGCTAACTATGCGTTTACATTACCTTTAGGTTTTCATTTGTTTCCGACTCGGGTTGACGAGTTGAGTTTAATTCTGTTAGAGGATGCTAATGGGACTGCGCGCCCAAGAAGTGTTCGTGTTTAGTTTTCTTTTTCTTTCGTTTGAATAAATGATGGGAGGCATTGCCTCCCGCTCGCCTACCAAAAAAAAAGGAGTGATTTATTTGTCTAATTTCTTGATAAATTCTATGATTCAATGTTGCATATAAGGTAAGAAAGGATTGAGTTTTGAAATATAGTTATGTGGGTATATGACTTTTCGGAAAGAATTAGTGTTTGTTTTTAGATGAATATTACGTTTCACATTTTGTGAGATGTTGCATTTATTTAAGGAAATCTATGAAGTAGTACATATATACATGATGAATTCAAATAGGGAACGTTTATTTTTATATATCGAATGCAAATAGTGTATCACTTTCGCCCTAGAAAACCAATTGCACTCCATTGAAATATATATTTGTCTTAAATTCTTAATAAGCTAAGAAAATAATAAAGTAAATTAAACAAGTGTCATAGGTGAAAACTGTCGCAACTATGACTTCCATATCCGTTACAAAGAACCTAAGAGATCAATCACATCAAAACACTAATCTTCTTCTACAGGCGTCGAGTGGGAGAGAGTTGCTGCTACCACGTCGGATGTGTCGGCGTTTACCTCCTCCACCGTTAAAAGCAGAAGAATCTACCGGCGATTTATAAAACTCGTCGTCATCGTAGTCGGAGAAGGAGAGCTCTCGAACGGTCTCTGCGATCAGGTCGCGACAGATGTGATCATGAAGAGCTAAACCGATTTTAGCGACCTCTCTTCGTTGACCAGATGCCACGTCATCACAAACCTGATTCACGCTCTCCATCAAGCTCCGTCTTACCCTCCGCACCACAAGGGGCAACGTGCCACATGACTCTGTTGTCGTCGTTGACGTTGCTCTCTTGGAAATGACGTCATGAATGGCGTAATGATCGGGTCTGGTGATTAGATTTATGTTGTTGACTTTGTAGGGTTTGATGTCTTTGCAGTACTCGTGATGGTTCATCATCGACAACATCGTGGCTGTATCTGGTTCGTGTCGTGTCGTCTTCGTGTTCTTTTGCGTTTGCGTCCTCACGACGACATCTCCTGCTACTGTTGGTAGTTTGTTTAATAAAAAGAAAATAATTAGTCAGACAGCTTGTGTTTAGTAGTATATTATTAGCATCACTCTCACACCAAAAAAAAAAAAAAAATCATCTATATATCGATTGTGACTAGATTTGTTTATATATAAAATCAAAACAAAACAAAGGCAATCAGGCATGTAACAATTTAACATAGTTGAATTTTATCCATTCTCGCTATCTTTTTTGATTTTTTCCTGAAGAGAAACATAATTTCAAAAAGACATTCCAAAAATAACTCCATATTTTTTGTTTTCTGAAAAAAGCACAAACAAATTTAGGAAGTCAGTTGTGTTAAGGTTTACCTAAAAAAGTTTGAGATTGAGGTGTTATAGTAACAATCTTTCCCCTTTTTTTATATACATAGTTAGTGTATTATTCTGAGCAACAATGATTTAATTATATTACTTAAAGTCTAAAATTATTTCTCTTTATATAAATGAAGTGTTTTGTAGAATCATTTTGTCTTTAAAAGTGGTGTTCTTGATTTGGTACCATAAAACAGTTTGTGGGTCAGAATCAGGAATAAATCAAATAATGGGTGGGGGTCCAAATGATGAGAAAAGTTAAAGTGGGCTTCATGACTAAAGGAATAAAGGCCCCTAAAAGCTGTTGCTTCCTTCATCATTTCTCTAACATGCCTCTTTCTCGTCACACTTTCTTTACTATCTTCTCTACTTTAATTTTATTCTATTAGATTAGACTAAACCTCATTACATAATTAGTCCCACTGAAACTTAATTGGGGTCCATACTATCTTGACTTGATATAATTTTGAACATTATCCTCAATGACACAAGTCACACAACAAATATGTAGTGAACCAATTGTTAGAGCAAATAGATGTGACATCTAATCAAATAACACAGTTAATGCATGCATGAAATTGTTAGAGCAATGAGATGTCTTTATCAATATACAAATTTGATGAGACTGTCTTCCACTATTGGACATACTCATGATTTCAACACCACCAAAGAGACAAATCTTTGGCCTTCCCATTCTATCTTCACTCTTTATTGCTACTTTAGTTGAGAAACTGTTCTCCTAATTTTTACTACTTTAATTTATTTATTTTGAACAACAAAAGATTAATACCAAATTCCCTGATACGGACCATATCAATTCTCCCACATTGCTTGATTTATGTTAAGCTAATTGTTGGACCATTAAATAAGAGAAGTTAATATATGTGAAAAACTAAAAAAAGTGATTTCGACATGTTTTTTTTATTGTTGTCCATATATCATGATCTTTAATGCATAAGAGTATAAGACGACCAAAACAGTAAACAAAACGGAGAAACGTACCGGTGCCGGAGAATTTAAAATTCTCACGTGTTGTCGGCGGAGAAACCTCAAGTTTCTTGTGAAGAATGTAAGTGGTTTTGATGACGTCGATGGTTCTCCTTAGCTCTTCTAAGTCCCGATCACATTTCTCTAGTGCTCCGACTAGGCTCACCCTCGCCGCATCTCCATCTCCTTCATTGCGCGGAAGCGGTGGCGCAACGATTCTTCCGCCGTCTCCGTTTGATGAATCTTGCGGAGGAGAAGCGTAAACGACGGTTTTTTGTTCTCGCTTTTTAGATCCCAAGGTGATGGATTTGCGGCGGTTGGAGGAGAAGCTGAAGGTAGAGAGGAAGAGGTTGAAGAATCCGGGGAGGCAGCCGGAGGAGACGGCGGAGGAGTTTGAATCTTTCCGGGGAGGATTATGGTTTTCCCGCCATGAAGATGAAGGAGAAAGCAAGTTCTCTCGTTTACTCTTCTTCATATTCCCTCCTATCTGTTTGTTTTTTCTCACCTCTTTGTTTTCTCTCTATATCTAAAACCTTAAATTCCCATTTAGTCAAATTTCTTTTTATTCATTCCAACGGTAAAATTATAATATTAATACCCTTTTTGTGATTTTGGTTGTGCTTTATTTTTATTTTATTTTCCTTTTCACTTTTGTTTTACGTTTTTTACTTTAAGGTTGGTCCATATGCACATGGCAAATTCCAATGCATTGACACTTGCTAAATATTATTAGCTATAGACAGTATGATGTCATTTTTGTGTTTAGGCATTATAGTGTCTTTTATGTTTTGTTTCTAATTTTGATGGTTTTCAAAGTTGATTATCTCTCAACTAGATAAACTTCAAGTATTCAACTAGATCTTTAAGTACAGCTTTTAATGATATATATAATAATGTTATAGTTATCCAATGGTCTAAGATTTCAAATGAGATTCAGATTTATTTTTGTATGATAAGAAATTTCCATTAACAGAATTTAGAACCCTAATCAAATAGGCATTTTAGGAGTTTAGCACAAGGCTCTATGCCTCTATGAGAAACAAAGGGGCATGATTAAGAGTGTTCTTTAAGATTCATGACCTTGTGCATGCTGGACAGAGAAAACTTTTAGAGCCTTTTTTTATCAATCCTATAAAAATTAGATATTTTTTGTACGACTAAGTAATTGCATCATTAATGGCACTCTGTTTTGAGACCATAAATCATTTACACGTTTGAAGAAAACAATTTATGCTTTAAATTAACAATTTTCGTCAAGTAGAAAAACTAACACTTGCTCACATAATTTTACATGTAGATATACTTGTAGTTTTTAAGACACATAAAACATTTTTGATCATAAATTATAAAATTTCGTAATTAATTGATTACAGTGATAATTTGGCAAATTGCAATAAGATTTTCCCAGAAATACTTGCATTGCAAATTCAACTGTGAAGAAACAACAAACTATACATACGAATTGATTCTCACTGATCAGACTAATCTTATCATCATATCAATGAACACTAAACATTGGAAGTTTCAGTTTTATAATCTCAGTAACAATATAACTGACAAGTAATAACAAAGCCTATTCTATACAAATAAGAGCTCGAAAAGAAAGAAAAGCCAATGAAAATCTGAACGATTGAGAGGAACTAAACTAACCCACTTTGGTTTATAGATCGTTCCATACTTTGTAGTCACTAGTTGAGCTGTTGTTCTGTATATAGTCTTGGCATCCTATGAAGAAAGTAGATCGCACAGGATCAACATTTACTAGAGCATGAGCCGTGCCACTCGGACTAACTGCTACAGCTACTTCATCCTCCCCAATAAACACTTCGGCGTAACCTTTATCGACTTCGTGGTTTTCCAGCTGCACGCATTCATATAGATATGTCAATAAACAATGTTAGATTGATGATTTTGGTTCATTTCGACCCAAGTGCAGTAAAGAAATGGAAAACCAGGGCACAATCATCACAGGAAAAAAGGTTAGAATAATAAGATAAGCCTATTTTGTCACATCACTAAACATCTTATAGGAAGAAACTCGATTTTTCAATCTTAGAAGGTGATTAGTGGTTCACTGATCAACGAGCAATTGACTGATGATATTAAGTCCAATAGTCAAGAACATCTTTATGATAGATTCTCACTAGTGATTTTCTCCTTTATTTCTCAAAAAAAAAAAAAAAAAAAAGAGATTCAATGCAGAATCAAAGACAAAAAATCAGCAAACCAAACAGAAATCTAGAGTGTGTTCTAGACACCCTAAACAACCTCAAAATAACCAAAGAACAGCCTGCTCCTGCAGCTGTTCAATCCTCTACTTACACACACCAAGACCATCAATTAACATGTAATACAAGTTTAGTTAAGTTGGCATGGCATTAAGAACACTCTGAACTCTCTTTTCTACCTTCTTTACCAAAATTTTCCCTTTACCATTCAATGATGCATTGACTACTTAGATAAGCAAAAACATATATTCCTTCCTATCAGAGGTGTTCAACAGTCTATCAATGAGATGGATGATGAGACTTACCCTGAATCTTGTCTTGGCTCCCCATATCACAAACGTCTCATTACAGGTATGGTGTCTATGATTTCCCCTCAATCCACCAGGCCGTATTTCACCAACATGAATGGAAACACACGAGGCGGCTCCACCTTCATACAAGTGAAAAAGAGAAAACATGAAATTTGAATCTCCAGTATCGAGAAAAGAGAAACTTAGGATTACACAATAGTCTCCTTCAAGGTTAGGTAGATCACTCCTAAGATTATAATTGATAGAGTGATCAAAGCCATGGATACTTTCTCTTCATCAACCTATATGCTAAAACCATCACAAACAGCTTCATGCTGCTACATATACGTCAGGAAGAAATTGAGAATGGTAATTTAAGCTACAAATTTTCTCAGTTTCGATATACTCAAGAACACTATACGAATTGCTGTTTAACATCTTCCTAAATAACATCAGCAAGAAAACAGATTAAGAATCGATCAGAAGAACCTTTGAGCTGAGAATCACGAGCAAGTATAACGGGATCAAGCAACCATCCACGGTCGTCTTTCCGAGCAGGAGAAAGCGACGCCAAACCGAACCGGACTAGATTAACCTTATCGTCGTCGTCGAAGACTTTCAAATCGGGATGACTATTTAGCGTCGATTTTGGATGTGAAGAGGACGAAGAGACGTGAGAAGAGTGCTGTAACCTGAGGGAGATCCATGTGAGGAAGAGGAAGAACGAGAGGAGGATAGGAAACGCTTGAGGCTTCTTCAGTAGGTTGATTATAGGTGACAATCTCTGGTTATCGATCACTACTCTTCTAGGGTTTGCCATTTTCGAAATTCTTCTCTATCTTTCTTCTGTACATTCTGATTTAATGTTAATTAATTAATTTTTATAATTTACTTTTATAGATCAATTAATCGATTAACGGGCGAGAAAAATTAGACTGAATGATTAGCGGGTTGAGCCAGCCCGTGCAGTAGTGCAACGCATGGGCGACTCGCGAAAGCCCAGATAGCAAGCTATCTTAACGGACTTTCTCCCTTAAAAAATAGAGTTAATATCGTGTGGACCGATGGCCCACATATCAGATATTAAACTGATAAGAACAGATACTACACTTGATCTTAGCCAAAAGGCCGAGAAAGGTATGAACTAAACGATGGGCTCAGCTTCTTATTTATACTACAAAGCTTATGACCAACGCTCTCTAGCTTGTCGATGTGGGACTTTTTGAAAGATAATCTCTTTTTAAGTATTTATAAGCAATTAGACATCTGGTTCAATATTGGTCATGGGTTTAGCAGCCATCTGCTAGTTAGTACTTAGTTGTCGGAGGTTTTGATCCTGTCTTGCTTCTGCCTCTATGTGTTCTTTGACATCAATTACAGCACTATGAAAGCACATAAGAAATTGTGAGCTGGTGATACTTGAAGCTCAGTGATCTGTGCGCACAGAGGAAGATTGGAATTTGATGAGTGTTTTTCTAATGCAAAATCTGAGGTGTTTAAAAGTCAATACTTTAAATTACAGAGGCTAAAGCTGGATCCTCCTAATGAAGAAAGGTGGAAATTTTCGAAAGCTATTACAAACTTCTCAATCTGTAATGCTAAGATTTTTTGACCCAGAATCAAATACAAGGCTCTATACAGACAGGTATCGACTATTGTTTGCTGGTGGCTGGCTTTTGGTAGGTTTGAAGGTTTGGTCCCATGTCTTCTAGCTTGTGATTTGAAACGCTGAAACCTAACCTTTGTCTTCAATGAAAGTTAAAGTCTTCACAAGCCTCATGTATTGATTTCAGGCATAAAGGGGACACAGCATGTCAAAATTTTGCTGATCACTGTCCATTCTTGAGCCAGGTTTCGCGGTCTTTCTTCCGAGGTCCAAGCTAAAACCTGTGTCCAGCCAAAAGAGTTTTCACACTTTTCATTAACTGGACCATAACAAGAGCGTAAAGATAAAAACTGATAAATTTTTTTCTAAACTTCATACTTGAATGAGTCTAGGAACAGTCCGAGGGCGAGTCCAGTCTTCCAATAGTTAAACATAGTGATCGTGCCCCGCATCTTGTTGATTAATGGAATAGAGGCTCTGTACATTAAAGCTCCAATGCATTCAACTACAAGCACAGCCACTCCAGCAGACAGAACATCCCAGTCTCCTGTTTGTCCTATGAATGTAGAGAAAGCAGTTGCAGAGTAGAATCCCACCAACAGAAAGAACAATTTCTTGGGGAGATCTTTCTTTATCTCCTGAAATTTCACCAGAAGCTTAGTTCTGAGAACTTGTAAGGCTTTGATTAACCGTAGACCTCTGGAGCTATTATTACTTGAAGAACCGGATGCTGGATCAAATCTGTCCCCACCAACCGAGCTTCTAATTGTTGTCCACGACATCCTCCTGAAAAATTGCAAAAGACTCACTTAACTTGGATACTGGAAAAATGAGTTCAACATAAGACCTTCTTTAAGACAGTACATTTCACAAAAAAATCGAGAAGCCTAAGCATACTTGGAGGTCTTAGAACTTCACTACTCCATAGTAAGTTCAGTAGCAAACAAATTATGATTCAGATATATCATATATGTAACCATGGATTTTAATGGTTGGTTATGGTCTCTGGCTCTCTGCCTTCATAGACAAATATACAGAGAATTGCAAGAGGTCACTATTTAGGTTATACCAAAATCCTCATATCATTGAATTTTTCCAGTAGCTCATTATATAAAAAGCCTGGAATTCTAACTTTTACGCCACACATTGATGCTTCAAAAGTTAGAAACTTGCCTTTGATGTCTAACCAACAGAGGCTGTGCAGGATGCAAGAAATGACAGAGGGAACAAAACTCCAAGCAAATGGCAAGAGACAAAGCACCTTTGTCTCTGAGACTCCTCTTTGGCAAGAACTTACTTCCACACTTAGGTAATGTCACCGTGATGGCAAATCCCATGAAACAGCTAGAAGAAATGTTGGTCTTCTGACCCAGATGTAACTAATTCCTAGACCAAAAAGTTTCCAGCATATCAATTTCACAATCCAATGTAACATCAAATAACAAACTTCTTTGAGAGAACAACCAATGTGTCTGGTTTCAAACTACGTGCTGATAAACAAGTTAATAAACTCATAGACGGAGAAAGAACAAGAAATACGAAAACTTGACTAGGCATTTCCACGAATACCTTGTAGACGACAACTCAAGAAAACCCTAATTTTGCAGAGATTCCTAAGTTCCTCCACGCCCATTAGTCTAAAGCAAGCCAAAAATCGATTCTTTCGACTGTCTACTGACGAAGGAATCAAAATTCAATACCAATTACGATCGAAAACAGTAGTAAAGAAGCCAGAGAAAAGAAAAGGGACCAGCTTGGTGATGGACAGAGTAAGAAATGAGGAAAGATGGAAGCACAAACCTGAAACGGCGGCGTTTAGCTTGATTAGGCTCAGGAAGCTTGGGCTGCAAAATGCAAAGCCTGTAATGTAATAAAGTAAGAGAGTCAGAGAATAAAAAACCCATTTATGTGGTGCTGAAAACATTTTGCTGGAGACTAGATTTTACTTCATCTTTGATTTAAGACGAAGAAGAAGAATAAGAAGATGCTTGCTTGTCTTGGTAGAAAATGGATGAGATTGTCAACGATGAATCTAAAACCAACCTGGAACTTCGTAAACGCCGTTGACGCAAGTAGAACAATTGTGAGAGGAATAAGCGGTGGAGGAGCTGAAACGGTAGCTAAAGAGAGAGTTGACACTGTCGTTATCGGTGCCGGAGTCGTGGGTTTAGCGGTGGCGCGTGAGCTCAGTCGCCGCGGTAGAGAAGTGCTAATCCTTGAAGCAGCCTCATCGTTCGGTACCGTGACGAGTTCCCGCAACAGTGAAGTCGTCCACGCCGGAATCTATTATCCACCAAACTCTCTAAAGGTACAATCTTTCTCTTGAGGGTCGAATCAAAATGTGTTTTTGGTAAGTTCAATAGTGAATTTTGTTGGATATTGATCAGGCCAAGTTTTGTGTAAGAGGGAGGGAATTGCTGTATAGGTACTGCTCAGAATATGAAATCCCTCATAAGAAGATTGGTAAGCTTATCGTTGCTACGGGATCTTCTGAGATACCGAAACTGGATCTATTGATGCATCTTGGAACTCAGAATGGAGTCTCGGGTCTAAGGATGTTGGATGGTTTTGAAGCTATGAGAATGGAGCCACAGCTTCGTTGTGTTAAAGCATTGCTATCTCCTGAATCTGGGATTCTTGATTCACATTCCTTCATGTTATCTTTAGTGGTATAGAAATATACTTTCTCTCAAGATCTTCCGGGTTTTTGTTGTTCTGTCTTTAGGAAAAGAGTTTTGATTTCATGGTTTACAGGGATAACAACAACTTGAGACTACAGGGAGAAGCAGAGAACAATCACGCAACTTTCTCATACAACACGGTGGTTTTAAACGGTCATGTTGAAGAAAAGAAGATGCATTTGTTTGTTGCTGATACCAGATTCTCTGAATCTCAGTGTGAGGCAGAAGCACAGCTTCAGCTTATCCCTAATCTCGTTGTTAACTCTGCGGGACTAGGTGCTCAAGCTCTAGCAAAGAGATTCCATGGCTTAGATCATCGATTTGTTCCTTCGTCTCACTATGCCCGTGGATGCTACTTTACACTATCAGGCACAAAGGCTCCGCCATTTAATAAACTTGTGTATCCTATACCTGAGGAAGGAGGTCTCGGTGTCCATGTCACTGTAGATTTGAACGGACTTGTTAAGTTTGGACCTGATGTAGAATGGATTGAATGCGCAGATGATACATCAAGCTTCCTCAACAAGTAAATACTTGCATCTGTTCTTGAATTTTTTCCTTTCTCTCTTGTCCATTTTGAAGTTACTCAAGATCTTCAAATGCTGTATATATTCAGATTTGATTATCGTGTAAACCCACAACGAGCAGAGAAATTGTACCCAGAGATCAGAAAGTACTATCCGGATCTCAAAGATGGATCATTGGAACCCGGTTATTCAGGCATCCGTCCTAAGCTTTCCGGACCAAAACAGTCTCCTGCAGATTTTGTCATACAGGTAATCTTTTGTTTGTCAAAATGCATCAGACTACACTCACAGCATAAGGGTCCTGTGGAATCTTCGGTTTTGTTATGAAAGCATTTGTTATCTCAAGACTCTTGTGTGTTCTTGATGCAGGGAGAGGAGACTCATGGAGTTCCTGGTTTTGTTAATCTCTTTGGCATCGAATCACCTGGTTTAACTTCAAGCTTGGCTATTGCAGAACATATAGCAAACAAACTTTTGAGATGAATTTGAGTTAAAAAGTCTACATACATTTGAGAACAAAGGTGGCCTACAAGAAGAAGGCCTGGCAGATTTAAACGATTTTCCCTTCTGTGTGATCCATTTAAACTTTTTCTATAACTCTTTACGCTTTGTAATCAAATGTTATAAACACAAGTTTTGTTCTACTCAATATCTGAGTTTCAATCACTCATGAAAACCATTACTGCTGCTGCTACAATAATAACTGAAGAGAATGTTTTAAAGAAAGTTAACAGAATTGCTCCAAGTCAAGAAAGTCTACGGAATGTACAAAGAAACAAAGCTGTTTTCTTTTTTTTTTGTAAGTGAACCGACACAGAAGACAAAAAGAAAAAGAAAAAAAAAAGAGTTTCGAGATCAGAAAGGAGATGAGCTTGTTCGCCGGAGCTGCCGCTTGGGATCAGGCGGTGGTGCACTTGGGAGGATTTTCTCCACCTCCTGAAATGTAATGTAAGGATTAGCTTTGGCACACATATAGAAGCAGACAAAATTGAAGAACATAAAGTCCATAAAGAATATAAACCAGCAAGACCAAACTTGTTCGTGGTTACATTTTCTATCATCTATAGCCTACTATGCTTGTGCCCTATTCTATACTTTACTACATCTTCTATAATCTATCATTCCCTCTAATATGAATCCAGAACTAATTAACGATCACCTCTTACAAGTTTCTAGCAATCAAGATTTAACCAATGCATGTGGTAAAAAGGAAGAAAAAACACTGCAGTGCATTACCTTTTGCCTCCTGAGTCTTTCGTTTTCTTCTTCTAACCGCGAAACTTTGATCTCTAGCTCATGAGTGTAAGCCTGCTCATCAATATCCAATGTTAAAAAAGAAAAACGGCATGACTTGACAAGACGGATAACAACAACAAATTTACAATTACAGAAGATGTTTCTCACCTGTTTCCTAGCTCGGGAACGAGCAGCAGACTCTCTGTTCTTTATCATTCTCTTCTGCCTCCTCTCTACAGTCTTCTCTACGACTTCTCCTGAAGCTACTCTCTTTCTTCCTGGAGTTTGTGTATCTGACAAACCACCCATTAAAGAAGACTGAGACACCATCGCTTGCATATCTGAAACCGGATATGGCATATATGCTTGAGGCTGTGGCATTGATGGGAGCTGATGATATTGAACCCATGGGCCAACTTGAGTTATGTTTTGCCCTAAACCAGCACCTGAACCAACACTACCACCACCAATAGGACCACCAGGACCATCATGGTTCGAACCAGGGATAGTCTCAGTCACCACTCCTGCTTTCAACAACAAGTCTTCAAGCGTCATTTCCCCGAGTGTAGGCTGTTTATCCCTCCTCTCATGAGCACTCCCTCCATTCTTATTCTGCTGAATGTCTTTCCAGACTTCATCAACAGTTTTTTTGCTAAGATCCCGTGGCAAAGTCAAACTTCCCTGGCGAGAAAGACCCTCCTGAGCTGTTCCACCATTGACAGCCATAGACGTTGGCTGATTAGCTTCAACAGAACAGACACTCTTCAAAAGCTCATCAAGGTTCATGCTTCCCAGAGCTTTACCAGTACTCCCCAAGTGATTTTGAACCTCATCAAGCGTTAAGCTGTAGAGAGAGCCTTGTCTATTCAAGGACTGAGATTTAGCTTCTTCAACAATACCCCTCTGAGAATCCATAAACTTTGTAGCGGAAAAAAACAGCAACACAGATAGATAAAACAACTCTGAACCCACAAATCAGAAACCCTAATGCTCAATTTGATAAATGGCCACACGACGAGGAATTCATCAAATCGAGCCTAAATCGGAGGCGAAAGTAACGTTTTTTCTAAGGTAGAGTGGAGAAACATGCAGCAGAGAGACGAAAACAAGAAAACCCAGAAATCAAATCGGAAGGAAATGGCCGAGAGAAATCACCGCGTTGTAGCAATCTGAAAGAGTCTTGGGAATTGCATGCAGCATCGAAGGCTATATCAAATGCAGATACTAAACATGGAAATCGCTACACGAGGAGAATCAAACGCTTGAAAGGAAGAGCTTTTTCGAAGAAGAAGAAGAAATCAAAACTTAAGCAAAGAAAAAGTAACAATTTTTAAGGAAAAAGGGTAAAGGAATTTGGAGCTTAAAAAGGACCAGATCTAAAACAATTGTAAGTTTGGGTTTTTCTTTCTCAAAAGAGAAACGAAACTATGATAAGTACAGAGAGAAGAGAGAAGAGATTTACAAAGCAAACCTAAACTCTTGTTGAGTCTGTGTGTGAGAGTCTCTCTCTCTCTCTCTCTTTCTTATTGCTCGTTTTGTTTTCGCGCAGGAGAGGAAAAAAAAGAAGAGAGAGAAAACCTTTTGATTGAGAAAGTGACACTCGATACTGTGGCAATGCCCCCCTCTCAAGCCTCCTGTGGAATTTTCAATGCGTTTCTTTTTTTAGTTACCCAAAAATGGTCTCCAACACTTTTGATCAAAATACCAAACAGAGATTTGTTTAATACTTTTGATTACTGATTTCCTTTAATGAAGGTGGTTATCGAGTTTTATTCCATGGGAATAAACACTACATGTGCTTCCTTCAATCAATTAAGCTTCAATGGGATTTTAGGTAGATTATTGATTATCAAAACTTTTTGTAATTATCACATACATGTTTACATTCTCTAGCTCTGAACACTATAGTTTCTAGTTAATGGTAAGTGATTACTGTATATTAATCTGCAATCATATTAAACCATTTTTGGGCAATAATCTACAAACTTGATTGTATTTTTTGCAATATTGATATTCGAAACCTTTATTTATACTTTGAGTTTCTATTTTCCAACCACAGATCGGTTTGAAAGAACATTGAATGGTGGCTTTGGAGAATACTGCACTTGGATTTTTCTTCATCAGTGAACTACATTTTTCTCCTTTTCGAAACTTGACATAACAATTGAGAGATTGAGAATTGAGATCAAAGACACAAAACTCTACTACTTACTTCCCACTTCCACTTCAGCTCCTGCTTCTTTCAACTATATATCATCATAGCTAACCTTAAAGTTAAAGCTGCACTTTTCCAAAAGAAGACTCCACCATCAAAGTAATCATCACCATTCACCAACAAACTTCATGCACTCACGCCTCTCTAAACTCCTCGAAAACATCAAGGGGAACAATCTATCACTTAATACTCTTGTGACTTTCTGTTAATCCCTGAACCTTGTGCACAAGGACTTGAAGGTACATGCTTTTTAGACCAAAATCAACTTTTAACACTTCAAAGAGGGGATATGACCAATTAACAAGAACATATATAGGCAAGAGATTCGTGCTTAGAGATATACTTCAAACACTTTTGATTACTTACCCTTCAACTGCAAAGCACGTTGTATATAGCCAAAGAACTTACCTTTTAGCTGGAAGCATGTTGTGGAGATCCAAAGACTTAACTGTAAGAAACCAACAACTTCACCTGTTGTCGAGAAACTCTCTTCAAAACATATCATTCTTCAGCTGTGTCCTTGAGGAGCTTGCACCACTTCCGCCAAGTTTGACTGTTTCAAGTTGGCTACAACTTAGTAATTTTGTTGCAAACAAAGTTCTAACTTGAAACAGTCATGTGAAAACTTTTGAAACTTGTCAAAGAAAAACCAAAAACACAAGTGAAAGCTCTTGCTACGTTTTAAAACTATAAGTTTTTATCTTTTTAGAAACCAACTGAACTGAGATTAGTATGTGTGCTAAAGAAATTTCATTGTGAGTTAGGGTCTTAGGGGTTCACAATTTGGCTGTTCAACCGGTAGTCACATTACCTGCAAGAGGAATAAGGATTGAACAAACATAAAATCAGGATAGTACATAAAGCCAGGTTAATCAAAGATAACTTGATACAAAATACACTGCAGGCAGAAAAACACATGAAATCATAAAACAGAAGTCTATAAAAACTATTTAAGAATATCTGGAAAAACTAGAGTTCGATAAGCAAAGACCCATATGGAGCGTAGTTGCGTTTTTAGTTTTACAAATGAAAGTCTAAGGGGGATGTTCAGAAAACTGAAAAAATAGAGACATAAACACTGAAAATAGTAGTACAAAGTTTTTTAGGAATATCATAAAGAGAGTTTGGGTAAAAAACAAGTAGATGAAAACTAAAACTCCTTAAAAGGTTTTTATGAGTTTGGCCTTAGGAGCGACCAAATAGTAACATTTCATAAAGACTTCATTTTGCATCAGCTCCTTTTAAACTTGAGAAGAATCACCAGGCCAATATAAAAACACTGATTTCTGATATCTGCACAATGAATTTAAGAAAATAAGAGAAGTAGCAAGCTTTAACAACCGTTTCAAAATCCCCCAAAACTCCAATGCAAACAAAAACCATGTGGATCAGGACACAGAAAGTTCTTGTCTTTAGACATTAGTAAGTTAATATATACTGAGGAAAGACAATGAAACAATTAAACAGGGGAAATCCATTGCTCTACCTGAGTGGATACATGATACATTTAGTGGCCCATGTAGGGAGCACCGTATGGCCCGACACCATGTTGCCCTCTGCTTGTACTGCCTTGACCAGGTTGCGGAGTCTGATAACCACCTTGCAACCCAGGTTGTGTACCGTACCCAGGCATTGTCCCCGGTGCCATAGCTTGAGTACCATAACCAGTTGGCATTCCAACTCCATTCGGGTTTACGCCTGTCGCTGTCCCCAAGGAACCCAACAAAGCCTGTCCAATTGCCGGATTAAAAGCCAAACCAGCTCCCTGAGATGCCAGTATAGCTGTCAAGGCTTGTCCAATGGCCGGGTTTAACGCCTGAGCCGCTGGACCACCCATTCCAGCTGGGTTACCAGCCATGAGATGTCCATGACCTCCAGGCGGACCATAACCATTGTTATCATTCCTTTGGTAACGAGGATTGTTGTGGGCATGTGGGTTATGGTGATGCTGCTGCTTGCCCGGTTTGGGACCATCGATAGCTTTCTGGCAATGCAAGATATGACCTTCAAAAGTCTTGTGTGGCTCCTCCAAAGCCCTCTTGGCGCTTTCAGCAGACTTATAAACAAAGAGACAGAAACCTTTAGGTCTCCCAGTAAACTTATCAAGACCCAAAGGACCTTCTTCAATCTCTCCAAACTTTGAGAAGAACCCCAGCAACTTCTGTGGATCAAGCTCTGCTCCAACATTACTAACATAAATCTTTTTCTGCGTGTGCTCTGAATTCGAATGCTGAGCAGGCGCCGAGACAGCTGCAGCAGCGATAGAAGCTCCACCAAAGACAGGTCCTTTAGAAGCCAACTGACATGCCGTCATACGACTACCAATCTTCTTCTGAGGCTGCTTAAGTGCATTGCGAGCACCTGACCGAGACTTGTACAAAATAAAGCCATAACCTTTAGATTTCCCTGAGATCTTATCAAACACAGCCTTGCAATCTTCGATCTCTCCGTACTGCTTAAAAGCTTCAATAAGCGTCTCTGTTTTGGTATCCCAACCAAGACCGTGCACGAAGATCTTCCGATGAACAGGGTCCTCATCAGCTACTTCCCGGATTCGATTGGCTACATCAGGATGCTTCTCTGCTGCTTCTTTAAGAAGACTCAAAAGTTGTTCCTTTGAAAACGGTTCCAACAGATCCTGAATTGGCTCATCGTCATCATCATCATTTACATCCCCTTGATTCCCAGATCCAGACGTCGCCGCCGCCTCAATACGATTACCAGCCGCCTGATTCTCATCGCCATCGTCATCGTCGTCTTCGTCATCATCTTCTACTTCTTCTTCTTGCTCTTCCTCTACTTCCTCGTATTCAACTTCTTCGACGTCTGCTTGAGTTTTAATAACGAGCTGTTGCTGCTCCTCCTCCGGCGTCTGCTTCAGCTTCTGCGACGGTTCTTCCGCTTCGTTAGATTCTCCTTCGAGCTTTCTCTTCTTTGTCATGGCGGATACTTTAATGTCGAATTCTAATGGGAGTTTTAGGGTTTCGAATGTTTATTTCTTTGGTTTCTTCTCCAAAAAGCTGGTTTTTCCCCTCCTTATCTATATAATAATGCGCCGCTATGTGGTGGTATATCATCAACCTCAAGCAAGTCCTCATTTACACATTTACCCCTGGCTATTTAATTTATAGGCCCATTTAATAACTATTGGGCTTTATGTTTGAAGACCCATTTACGAAAAGATGCTTAAGGAGTAACAACGTCAAAGTTCCCGCCATGTATTTCCCGCGAGACTTGACGGCTCATCACTCAGAAGACAAGACAACAAAAGAAAAAAAGTGGTCTTCTCTCTCTCGCTTCCCTTCTTACAAAGAGCTCCAATTTTCAGTCTCTTGGTCTTCTTCTTCGTCTTGTTTTTAAATTAATCTCTCTCTGTCTCTCTCTTTAGTGAACCCTAGATCCAGAAATTAGAGTTTGGAGCCAAGGATTCGGCATTCATTTTCCTTCTCAATCGAATTAAGCGTCGATTAAGATTTAAGGTAAATTCAATTCCTCTTTGATGCATTCATTTACTTTACCCAGATCTGCTCTTTACCATTCTCAAATTGATGCAGCTACAAGATTATTAATGTAGCGAATTAGGGTTTTCGTGAATTTGATTTTTAAATTGCATTTCCTTTTTGGGGGTCAGATTTCTGCAATTAATTTTACTTTTGGTTTCACTTTGTGTTTAATAGCTAATTGATGTTCGTTTCTCTGATTGGTCTGATGAAATTTAGGATTCTGGACATTATTGTTAGCAGTATCATCCTTACCCGCAATTCCTTTGTTTGTTCCAATTCAGGACCTCGATTTGGCGTTAATCTTTCGGGGGGTTTGTCGAGCTAAATCATTTGTTAGGAAGTAATTTATCTGCTAGTTACAATGGTGGTGTTAAGAAGTAGCACCCATTTGAACTCTCATATGCATTATATCCGAACCATTCAAGACGGATCTATCAAAATACTGATGAATATGGATGCTAGAAGGAAATCAAAGCTCAAATTTAGACAGTTGGTGGATATCTACAATCTTGAACACAGTCAAGATGATGAGTCAGTTCCAAGAGTAGTCAGGGATTTGGACAATGTTTCTGATATTACACAAGGTTCTGAGTCTGAAGATTTTAGCATGACAACACTGGAGAAGATTCGGAAACAATGCAAAGAAAAGAAAAGGAAACTTAGAATCCGCGGAGATACTACTGAGTCAGCATCAAACGTTGAAGTTAAAAAAGAGTATGTGACTCAAGATGAAGGATGTGATATTGAGGAGCCTCTTAGCAGTTGGGATACGAAATTCTCCAAGAGAAGAAAGAAAAAGCAGGAGCGTAAAGCAAAGTGTGTTTCTTCTACTTCCTCTCCATCTGTTGCAAAAGTTGATTTACCTGTGGTGTTGTTTCATGTCAAGCCTGAAGCTTGGGATGATAGTTATTCAGTTTCTGAAGCCATGGATTGTAGCAAAGAGTCAGAATCTCCTACAAATACAGTGTTGGTGGAAGAAATAATGCTTGATTCGTCCAGGGACATGAGGCTGGTTCCATACTGCAGTGCAGAGCCAATTTTTCCTGGAGTGGTTGCCATTGAAGAGCCTATAACTACAAAGCCGTTAGAGGAAGCTTTTGAAGATGCATCAGAAGAGTTTGACGATGCTAGGAAAGTGCAATGCTGTCTTGCTGATAATATTGCTCTTCAGGATAAGCAAATTGTTTTGTACGGTAGTGTGCCTAGAGAGGAGATGGAATTGGATGTTAATCCACAACATTCAGAATATGAGAACTTTGGTTGTGTCGAGAACCTCATTTCTTCTTACACAAGCTCGGGGTGCGAAGAAGCTAAAGAGGATGAGGAAAGCAATGATTCAAAGGCTAGCTTAGACATGAGCGTAACTGGTTTGGAGATTGTCAAGATAGAAGCTCCAGAAATACTTGCTATTGATTACTCGGGTTGTTTGCCCATCATCAATTTTTGTATAGAAGATTCCGACATTCTGTGGGAAACTGAAGACATTACTAAAGATGATTTTCCTGAAGCAGCTGATATTCTCCAGCTGACCAACTGTTGTAATTCACTGGATAATTTGCAACCAGTTCCTGATGACAGCACAATTTCATTAGAAGAATATCATTTGCCAGAAAGATTACAACAATCTTTATACTCCAAACATGAAGATGAAGCAAGAGACCACAAGCTATCACAACTCTATAAGGAACCTGATGAATTTCAAAAAGTTGCAGAGACTGACAGTATCCAGCAACAACAGCCACATCACCAACCAGAAAATCTACTCTCAGGGAGAAAGGTTTGTCCTCTGCATAATTTTATTCAAACCACATTCTATTCTTAATGCAGTTCCTCACTAGATACATTTTGGTTTTCAGGCTTTATCTCCAACCTCTCAAGAAAAACTTCGCAAGGCAATGGAGCACCCCGATTCCCCTGAGAAAAGGAGTAAAAGTAAGTCAAAGAAAAAAAAATTGAAGTCTTATTGTATGCTTTGCACTGTAATACTTTTAGATGCTCATCCATGTTACAAACTGTAATCCAGAATCAAGAGGGAAACTCTACTTCAGTAGTCAAAACTCACATAGGATCCTTAAGGCTCAAGGGCTGGATACCATCGACCGAGTGGAAATCATTCCAGGCTCAAAGCAAGCCATTCAAAAAGCTAGTAATAAAACTCGGCAAAGAGCCACACACAAGTTTCCACGTCGAGGGACTCAAGCAGCAAAAGCACAGCCTTTTAGCACTGGATGCGCTTCTATACAAGGATGCTCACAGAAAGCTATTGCCTTCTCGCAAGGGCAATTGTGTGATTTCCAATGTGTTGCAGCTAGGCTCACAAAAGAGCTGAAATCGATGAGACAAATTACAAAGAGATGTCTGCAAGCTGAAAGCAACACCTCCAACATCTCTGACTGTAACTTAGATGAGGTACCTTTCTTTCTATTATAAGCAATTGAAATTTGGTTTACAATGTCTAAAATCTTGGCTCTCTCTTTTCAGGTGAAAACTGTGATTGGAAATGCAGAAAAAACAGAAGAGAGTTGCAAGAAATGGCTTTCGATTATAGAGCGTGACTGTAATCGGTTTTGCAAACTCATGGTTTGTCTTAAACTCTTAACATTCACAAACACGACAGAGAGATTTGTGTCTTCCTTCAGTCTCTAACTCTTTCTTCATTCCCTTCCTTTACAGGGTATGGTCAGAGAAGATTCTCCAGCTACTGAGGACGTTGTTCATAAGAAAAAGAAGATTAAATTTGCAGATGATGCAGGAGGAGATCTTTGCCATGTCAAGGTTTTTGAGATTGATTTGGAATCTGAACATAAACGAAGTCTGTAAAATTAGTGTAATGTAAACTAATCACACCTTTTGTAGATTCATCATGTCTTGAGATATCGCGAGATATAAAGATTTTCCAAAAAGAAGATGACTTTACTTGATTCACGCATAACAAGGTTTATTGCAGCAACTAGTTATTAGGTTTGTTTTCCAAGGATGATGCAATGGCTTCAGATAAAAAACAGGAGACAAGAAGAGAGGACAAGTGCAGTGAAACTGTTGAATCCGCCATGTTTTGTATTTATCACTCCCCAAGTTATCTTTCTCCACAGTTGGTGTTGTTCTCAATTTAGGGAAAGTAAGGCTATACCTCCGAAAATAAAGAAAGACGTTGTTGAAGCCAGAGCTGACGAATAAGACCACGATGAAGAAGAGTACTTGGCTCATGGGGTGTTTTTGTTCTTCTCAAAGGCAAATTATATGGTGAATGGTTTGTTCAAACTAATAGCACAAATTAAAAAAGAGTAGTTGAGTCTTCAAATTGAAGATGAAAGATATGATCAACAGAAAAAACATATTAACGATCATTTTCTAGATTCAGTCCAAACCTTGAAAGTTGAAACAAAAACCAAGAAGCTGATTCAGTTTCTGTAACTGAGTCCTAATCCTGATTGGGCTGAGTTCCATTAGGCCCATACATATGAATAGGCCCATACATATGAAATATGTTCGAATCAAGTGGTCTTATTGTATCCTATCCCTATCCAGATGTCCCAGAAGGAGACAAAAACCCGTAAATAATTTCAGTTTTTTCCAAGAAAATACTACTACTAGCATTATTTACCAAAACCGCAAATGGAATCTTTGAGAAAGAAAAGAAAAAAAAAAAAAGAGAGAGAGGAGAGGGAAGCTTGGGCGACAAGAGTGGGCAGAGTGTATTGGGAACGATGAAGAAACTTTGGGCGCACTGCATACACGACCGCTAGCTTCTCAAGTCAACAACATTCTCACGTGTCCTCTCTTTTTTTTTTTTTTTTACTTTTACTTCTTTTTATCACTTTTATTTTAAAAACAAAATCGTAAAATATTGCCAACCAAATATAGAAAATAAAAGTATGACGCGGTATCGTCATGATACTGTCATGATTACATAGTTTAAAGGAATGACGCCATCGCTGGCGTCTATTGACTTTGTTCTTCCCATTTGATCCTTTTTCCTTTTTTGTCAGGATCCTCCGATTAGATCAATGCTACATTTTTCTAATTTACTATACTAATCACTAATCAGTAAGACTTTCTATTTTATTTTATTTATTTGTAAGCTGATTAATTTTGTATTTTATTTTATTTATTTTGTAAGCTGATTAATTTTGTAGGTATACTATCCTCCACTACACTAATTATTTTGACTATACAACTCGAGTGGACTATGCTTAATTACTTCTTTCTTAGTTTTATTTTTATTAAAGAATAAAATTTTCTTTGATAAATATTTACTTCTCTTAGTTTTGACAAAGAAAGTTAGATAAATACTTGCTTTTTGTAGAATCATTTTACTGTACTTGTACCATTTCACGACTCCTTTTAACTGATACTTTAAATAGGGTTTCGACAATTCATTTTGTTTTCAAAATGAAACTCCTTTCAGATTGCAAATTTTAGTAAAATCTGGATTAGAAAGATCAGAAAAGAAAAAAAGAGTTGTACAGTTTGTGGACGCATAATCAGAAGTTTCATACTTTTCCGGCAGATAAATTTTTTTTTTTTTGTTAAAGTAAATATATTTCCATATTATCGAAGACATAACTTTGTTTGGACCTTTTTCTTTTTTTTTTTTTTAAAACTTAATTTCGATTAATAAA